CTTAGACATGAAAGCTCAGGTGTATTGTCAATTGTCTGAACAGCATGCAAGCATAAAATATGAAATAAAAGGATGATTGACTTGAAAGAGTGCAAAAGCATTAGAAGAAAGAGAGGAAAACTGAAACTGAGGGCCTGTGATCTTATGCATCTTTTCTGAAGAGACTAAAGCAAAAATGCTTCATTAAATAAATGTGGTTTAGATAGGGTGTAAAGGAGAGATTAAAAAAAGGCTCCCAGACAGCAAAGGTGTGTTGTTCAAACAGGTATGGCCTTTGGCAGGATTTTCCATTTGTCAGGGTAACCACACTGGTGAAAGCAGAAATGAAAACAGCACAGCTGTAAATGCTGTAGTGTGAGGGGATGAGAGAGGTGAAATGATAAAAGATGATATAGAAATAAATGAGAAAGTATTAATTTAGAATAAACCAGTATTTGCTTCTGTAATGTGGGACACTTTGTCTAGCTCATGGGCAATAAAATCCTCTACTTCCTGTGAGTTAATGCCACTTCTTCAGTCCTTCAGTCCTAGTTTAGCCTAAAAGATAAAATAATTTCTCTGTTGTCATCTTGAATTGCTTCGGGAAAATGCATTATTACTTTCATGCTTACTTCAAGTTTTGGGGTTGGTTGTTTTTTTTTCTTTTGGGGGTTTTTGTTTGGGTTTTTTTGGGGGTTTTTTTTGGTTGGGTTTTTGTTGTTGTTGTTGTTTAAATGGCTAAAAAATTAGTCATCCCAGAATGTAATGGACAAAAGACTTTAGGTGTTATTGGGTACCCATTCCACCACTGGAAGGTGGTAAATGCTGGCAGTTAACATAATCACCAGGTGTTCTGCAGTTCTGAAGACATCTGTAATTCTCTCCAATTTCAAAGGTCTCAATATTCTTTGTTTCTCTCCTAGCACCACCTTGAAAAACAGATTAGAACATAATTTTAATTTTATATCCAGTGACACTGGAGATATGATTTTATCATGGACAAAGTTTTATCTTTGAAGAGAATATGTAGTATATGTATATTTTTCACAGGCAAAACATACTCTTAGATACACCTTTTCATTTCCAGTATTTATATGAGCCCTGACTCAAAAAATAACATGTTCTGGGTTGGACTGGGTTGTCCCAGGCTGGACTGAGCTGGGTAAAACTTTTTATAAGAGAAATTCTGAACCCTGTAGAGAAATATGCATAAATATGAGGATTTCAGACAATTAGGTAAATAACTCAGTTGAATTGAGCAGTCAAGATTCCAAATGCCAGTTTGAGAAATAAGCTTAAAATGGGCTGGTTTAGGTTATCCTCTCACTAACCTGCTCTAGAACCCTTCCCCCCAGCAATCTCATCTGAGTTTCTAAGTATAAATTGTGTTTAAAATTATTACTGAATTATGTTCAGTATCCTCAGTGAAGATTTCCATCTTTGGTGTCTAGCAAACTCTTAAACTGTCTCTGGTAATCCAACTGGAGCATGAGATGCAAAGCTCTGCCTACCCAGGTCCTCATAGAGCTCAGTGTTATTTCTCTTCTTATTCTTTTCTAATTCTGGCAAAGTCTCCATGTTTTGTGGCCACCAAGAGGAGGTGGACTTTAATATGTGTATGAGCAAGACCTGAAAACCATTTTGGCTGTTTTCTTCATTAACTAAATGATAATTAGTTACTCCTGTGCCCTCCCAGACTGTAGTTTGTGACCCAGGTGCTGCAGCCAAGGTGTAATTCATATTTTATTACAGGGCAATCTGGGTGAACCTCCAGAAACCTCCCTCTTGTCTCTCTTTTATCACTTGACCTGCAAATAATTCACTTCCTCTGCAGGAAAAATTGTGGTAGCACTTTTCTGATGTTTGTATATAAATGAAGTTAAACACACCAGGCCACTGCCAAATGGGCAGCTGGGATCTCAGAGAGTGAAACAAACTCCAAAGTGAAAAAATCCTCTCATTGTCAAGTGCATGCTTTCTGGAGCTTCAAGTAAAGACTCTTCATGGCACAAGAAATCTCAGTTCTGAAAATTTTTTGGCAGTCCCTGCCTGACATGGTTATAGACATAGTATTTAACTTTGACATGTTATAAAGGCTGTCATAATCCAAAAATAATAATGAATACAGGGAAAATACTTACCAACTTCTGAATACTAATTTTTGGCATGAAGATTTGCTAACTTTCTGTAGCAAAAAAAGCCATGTAAGCTGTAATTTCTTCTAGACCATCAGTTTATATTCAGGGTTTCCAAATGTTTCCTTGCTCATGATTTGCTATACTTCTTAACAATCTGTATTTCTTTCTCATACAAAAGATCCATAGCATAACTCCAGGACTATGGTCTCTCAAATGACTCATTGCAAGCATTATTCATCCCAAAGTAACTCTGGGTGTGGGTGGGCTGTTTTGCTTGATTGTTTTAATAAGAACTGTTTCCAAGATCTCTTTCACAACCTCATGAGCACAGCACAAAGACTCAGGACCATTCTCCAGAGATTTAATTGATGACTTCAAAGCTAGAGAGTCACAAGAAGTGTAAGGTCAGTGCCAGATTTATTGGCCAAACACATGGAATGCTTTACAAACAATGGAATGTTCACAAATTGTGAAGTCTGAGTAACAGCTGATATAGGTGGGGAAGGAGTAAGAAAATAAAAGAAATTTGGTAACAGAAAAGAATGAGAGTTAAAGGATTGAGGAATGTAGAATAAGCAAAAGAAACCATGATAAACTATTAGAGAAAAAATTGGAATAGATAAGAACAAAAGAAAGAAGAGCAAAAGAAACTGAGTGGCACTAAATATTTAAGAAACAAGAGAGAGAAAGAAAAATAAGGCTCAGATGACAACAGTGGCTCAACAAGGCCAGGGGTTGGACTTAGTCAAACACTGAGATGGAAAAAGCCAGTAAGTCACAGTCACCTCATAAAATCCAGAATATCTGAGATACAGTTAATTAATATCATGTCATTCTCAACAGAAAACTTACATACAGCTTTCCAGAAAAGCAGGGGAACTGAAGAGTTGTGGTTGGATGGGAATTAATGAGTAGGGCTGGAATAAATATTTGTCAGAGGTCAATGGCAGTACAGTCAGTACCTGAATAATATCTCATTTCATCTTCATTATAGCATTTAGCAATACATTTAATTACTTTGAAAGACTTAATTATAAGTAAAGCTCCCAATGATCATCTCTTTCTTATCCTAGCTGTTGAATATGTCACTGTTTTCTCTAGATTTGACCACCTCTAGAGTTTTTAGTGTAAAAAGTGGTTTTAGCACTGATTTATGGCTAAAAGTAAACCAGTATAAAATGTTCTAAAGAATATGAAATTCTGCATGCTCTTAGAGCTGTAAAAGTAAAACTCAGCTGTTCTCTCCTGAATTGTGTCTGAATACTTCCACCTTTAGGGCAGTTTCAGAAGTCAAAGCTCTTGATGACCAAATATTAGAGATCAATGTCTTTAAAAACATTGAAATCTGTTTTATTAGTACCACAATTCACTCTCTGCCTGGTCCCATTTTTGACAGGATGCTCCTCAAAAAGTAGAAATCACACAAGTTTTTGTGTCTTGGCTCCCCTCAGCACAGAATTTACATCAGAACTACCTTGAATATTTGCCTTAAATCCACAAATCTCCTTAGTTACATCAGGCTCTTTTGAGCCTTAACTGCTTTTAGTGGCTCTTGTTTCCATATAGCTCAAAGTGGGCAAAAAAGACATTTTCAGAGGGAAAAAGCCAATTTGGCCCTGGATGGTGACCTGTATATTGTGAATTATGTTGAGGAATGACTTTCATTAGTACACCTGCACACACATACTTACAAATATGTAAATACAAGTCAGAAAAGCTGCAATATGGAGCATCCCTAAGAGGCATAAACCTCTTTAAACCTCTTTAAGAGGTTTATGGATAGATGCCTTTAAATTTAAAGTCAGTCAAGAAGTAAAGAACACATTGGTCCTGATTTACCAGCAAAATGGGCATCCAAATAGCTGTTCTGTATTTTAAATATTCCAAATTGCACTGGAAGCTCTTTTGTGCTTCCTCATTAAATTAAAGGCATTGCTCCTTTTCCACATTCAGAGCTTTGAGACAGTAGAGAACTAACTACAATTAAGTTAATTAGATTTGAGGTTTTGAAATTATTTTCAGGAGATATTTATGTGTTCAAAATGAAAACAAAGCAAAACAAATCTTAAGTTTTATCACTTCATGGTTTTTCAATTTTTGAATGACAGGAAACTGGACTGAAATAAAATGAAAACAAACCTCTGTCTACACACACATTGGACACAGTTTGAAGACAATTCCTCTTTCAAATAAAAATATAAAATAAACAGATTTTTATACCAGTTGCTGTACAACTTCTCTTACCTGACAAAAGCGAAGAGTGATTGATCAAACCCTCTTCCTCAAGACACCAACTTCATGGAAAAGCTCCTAGATTTTGAAGACCTGCTCTACCTGGTCATTTATAACACTCATTTCCAGCTTCTTGCAGACTTTGTTTTCTCTCTCAGACAGTGATTTTATTTTTCTAGTCAAATCACCCAGGAATATTACTTGTTTGCTGATTCTATTTCAGTATTAAATGCTCTCAATGCTAAAATTGGGCATGTTTGTGTAAATACTCCTGAAAAGAGAGGAAACTGCAGATAACTGAAAGCAGCTGAGTGATAACAGCAGGGATAAAAAAAGAAAAAGCCATTAGTGAATTCATTAATTTTTACCTTTGGCATTTAGTGCTTCTGATTAATGGCTTTCCTGTAGGCTGCTATTTTCCTCCCAGATATTAACATGCAAAATATGTGACATATTAGAATAAAGTGTTATTCCTACTTATGTGTATCCAAAATCCATGAGATATCAGGGATTAAGCTGAAATGCAGACAAATAAAATAGCTGATTTTTTTACATACATTGCCTGTTACAAAGAGGGCAGCTCCAGAGCACACTTGCACCTCTAAAATTTAAATTCAGACACAAGGAAAGGCTAGGAAACCAGCCCCACCTCCTTTTTTGCTCCTCCTTTTTGCAGCTTGGCCAGGTTCTCAGTTCAAAGCTGCTGTTTTCCTTTACAGATCCCTAAAAACACCAATCTCGCTGCTTCTCTTCCAGCTACAACTCCTTGTCAAACCCTTCCTGATATTTAACTCCTGGATTTGTGCTCTCTAACTCCTTATTTTATTTTATTTTTTTCAAATCTGATTTTTATTGGAAAATGAAAGAATGTCTTCTTCTCCTGTTATTTTGTTCTCCTACGGCCAGTTACCACTTCCTTCCTTTCTGAGGTTGAAATTTCTCACCAGTTTTTGAACTCATCTCCCCAAACTGAACTTAAGGTTCTGTAATTTACAAGTCTGTCTATTTATACTTCAACTTTTTTTTCCTAAAAATATTTTAATTCTCCCACTATAAAGAACCTAACACTGGAATAATCCATCCTCTCCTGGTATTCCTCACATTACTCTTTGCAGTCATTATCTGAAATGACAATTTCTTTTATTTTAGACCCTGTCCTCTCCTTTCATGAGCTATGGGGTGCTGGAAAATGTTGCTGCAGTCTAGAATCACTTTTTCTTGACTCATTGTCAATCTCACTATTTAATATTCATTCTCCTCCCTCTCCTGCTGGATTTTAGCCATTAAATTCTTCTTCAAATCTTGTATTCACACATTTTGAATTCCTCAGCCAAAGCTACCAAGTCCTTTCAGACTGTCTGGAGGGTGAAATCTATTCTTACATTTCTAGATCAGATGTGAATCTCCTTAAGCCATTCTGTTGTTCCCTCACAGTCCATTTTGGGGTATCTTAATTTAGTCAATTCCATTAATATCAACTTGTAATATTTAGTATATTTTACATATATTTAGCAAATTTAATACATAATATTTTTATAGATGATATCTGGATATGATGTTGTATATATTAGATAAAGTATTGATATTAATTAACACTTTCAACTGCTCCAAAGATCCTGTTTTCTCATTTTCAGGTTACTTTCCTTCTCCTTTTTCTTTCTTGGTCTTTACTACACCAAGATGACAAATGAGGCTGGCATGCCTGACAGCTTCTGCTGTATCAATGTAATAATTAAAGGAAGGTTAAGGAAGAGGATAAAGAATTGAGACCAAAATAACTTGTGATGTGCCTAGAGCCAAGAAGAATTCTTCACAATTCCAAATTACAAACAAGAATTACAAATACAGGCCCACAAAACTGCCTGTGCCTGAAATGGTTGCTTCAATTCAGGAAGCCAAAACAAATAAAGTGACAAAGGAGCAGAAAGGAGCCTGACCATTTCAGTGTCCTCTAGTCCCTAATGCACTGAAAGAGAGAATTTACAAAAAAAATAAATAAAAATCTGATATTATTATGCTAAAAGAAAAATATTCAGAGCTAAGATGGTTAAAGCCAACAACCAACTTAAAAATCATGCAAAGTGTTAACCATAAGCTGGTTTTCCTCCTAAAGAGTGTAGATAAATCTAGGTATGGTACCTAGCCTTTCCCTTGAAGATTAGTTAGTCATTAATCTATACATTAAAGGAGTAACTTCACCAGAGTCAGAGTTGCATGTTTTTAGTGTTAAATTATTTCAATCTAAAGGCTTTTTTTTACCATTTAGGGCAAGACACCACAGAAAAGTTTGCAAAAAGGGAAATAAGACTAATAGCCCGTGTACTTTTGTCTCCAACTTCAGTAAATATCTTTTCAGCGTGCCTGGAAGTTAACAGAAATATAGGCAGGGTATAGAGAATGTCACATGGCAGATACTAATTGTTACGATTAAGGTCTAACAAGCAGGCTTCCCTGCTGTTCCGAGAATGTCTCTGACTTTTGATCCTGACATCTGTGTCTTACAAGAATTTCAGTCGGCTCTGACATTCCTTCTGATGTTGATCCAGGAATTAATGGATTGTGAAAAAGCTGGCAGGATATCATTTAAAAATAGAATTCTTGGTGTACAACTGATGAAAAGGTATCAGAATTCACATACTTTGTGTCTGATACCAATACATTGTGCCTATATGCATGCATTTCATATCTCAAAAGAGAGGGCAGAAAACAAGATTTGGAAGAAAGCAAGAGCTTGATTCCTGTTATGCTCATTTATGGAGTTGCTATTGTACATCTTCAGTATCTTACCAGATGAAATACATCCATGATTTGATAATTTTGATTCTCCAATGTCTTGGATATTCCATTGTTTAAAACCCATGCCAGCAAAATTAATCACATTATTACGATTAATTCAGATGTTGTTTAAGACTTTAATAAGATGCTTGCCAGTGGATAGAATTAAGGAAATCAGAATTAATTTTGGAAGAAGTTTCAGCAGCCATCAGCATGTTTAGAGTGTGAAATGCATTGTGTGGTCACCCTCACACCATTTCACTTGGACATCTATTTAATCTATAATACTTGCAGCTTTAGAGGGGCTATGAGAAAAAAAACAAACAAACCAACCAAACCAAAAACTTCAAAATATGTAATACCAAAAGTTAAACTGACATTCTTTCCTAGGTGTGTTTAAGACTGAAGAAATACATAGAGAATTGAAATTTTACACATCAGAGAATACTGCCTTGTGTTTCATGGCTCTGGATAATTACTAGATGCCAGTGGATAACTTAAACATAGCTTAGAGTCACTGACATTAATGTCTGACAGGCAGCTTTGCAGAGTGTATTTAGCAATCTTACATGAAAAAGTTGAATGATATTTAAAAAAACAAAACATAAAAATAAAATTCAGGATTATCAAAACAGGAAAGAAGCCGTGCCCTCCTTAAAGAAAATCAAAAAGTGTTTCTCAGTGTACAATAAAAAGACATGAAAGGAACTATAAAAGAATTCAACAAGTTAAAAAGGAATTAAATTCACTTGTCAATTATTGTCAATTATAACTAGCTAAAATTAAGACAGTGTGGTTTAACCATCTACTCAAACAAGTCAACCAAATTTCAAATCAAGCACTGACATCATTGTTTATTAAGTAAAATTTCTGGCAATTGCATCTGTATTTCAGTGGTTCAGAGGTTTTAACAAATTTTCTTGACACCCAAGGGCATAGGATATTTTCACACTAGTCCAGACCAAATGCTATTAATAAACAAAGGTAATTAATAAAATTAATAGTACAGACTACCTAGAGATATTTAGCCACTCGTGCCCTATATATAAACATTGTTCATATAAATTTGTTTTAAGGAGTATGAAATTATCCAAAATAAGATATAATCAATACTTGAGAAGCCAATTTATCTCAGATATTAGTAATCAATATGTGAAAAAAGTTAATGACTTGCACACCCCTTATCAGTACTCATTCCAACTCTGCTGTTGTTCAGCTGCACAGCATTTATAAAACTCTGAGAACACCAGAATTCTAACAAGATGCAAATAAACATCTTAAATGTTTATAACATTGACTGTGCATCTAGAGAATCCATTAAAGTTTTATTTAAATTATATGATTAAAGACACCATGCGAGTACTGTTTTGTTTTAAGGGAAATATCAATGGCCTGAAGCACCAATATTTTTATTATTTATGTTTCATGTTATTTAGATTTACTGTTTTTTCCTTAAGAATTCTATAATTCATATAACAGGTAAAAGAGTAAACAGCACACAGATGAGGAAATTAAGAAACAAAAAGGCAAAAAAAACCTCAAGTGAACAGTTACAGAGAAAAGGCTGCATCACATTTAAGATGGGGAAAAACAAAAGGCAAAGCTTGTAAAATCTGAAAAAGTAAGGTAGGGGTGTGAAAGTGTGATGTGTGACAGGTGGGGTAAAATGAGACAGTTGGGAGGAAAGAAATAAATTTGAAGAGCACAAATTAGACAAGACATTCATTTTAAGCCCTAACAGGCTGGATCTCATCGTTGTCATCAGACAGGAAATGTCAGAGCTGGCACATTTGGTTTTTTATGCTTTTTACTTGTTTGAAAAAAAAATCAACAAAAACCTCTGTGTCTTATAATACATAAAAAGTCTATTTGCTTTAAAGAAAAAACACATCTCAATTTGTTCCCATTTTTTCTCCTACTCAGTCTTTAAACAACTTCAGCTCTATTATATTGGAAACTACAGTAATTATAAGGTTTAATACTTCCATTATATTTTGAGTTATTTTATTTTATACCTGAACAGGAGTTGAAGTCTTTAAAAAGAACTAAACTTTGCACTTGTAGCTACAGGTGGATTTCTGGAGAAGGTGAATGTTGCACAAGATAAAATGCAGTAAAGGCTATTTCACAATCACAAACAAATCCTCCCTGTTAAAGTTCAGAATTTTTTGGAGGCATGCATATATTCTTTCCAATATCCATGGTCAAAACAATTATGTCAAAAAAAAGCATTTAAATCTGCATTCCAGTTGATGGAAAGTTTTTGGGTTTTTTTAATAGAGATTTTAATTTAATTTTAATAATTTCTACAAAGGGTATTTGGACCTGAAAATAATTACACTGTATAGAATAAGTTACCTTTTCTTTATATGACCATTTAATTAATCTGGTTTGTTCTGTCAAATAGGAAAAAAAAAATCCCTGTGCACTGGAATATAATCTCAAGGTAATAAAATTCAAATAAATGTATTATAAATGTATTATATCATGTATTATAAATGTATTATATAACTTCAAATTACTAGTATAAATTGAAATGAAGTAGAATACTGCCAGCAGGAAAGTACATAGAATAACTGTAATTCTTAGTGATTCATTATCTTTATATGAACTCTTTTTTTCATTTTTAACTGAAATTATCCTTTGAACTTTTTGGTTTAAAAAGTTTACCTCAGAGTGAAGTATGACAACAAATGTCCATATTGAGGGAAGGAACTCTACCTCCTGTACAGTTTAGATCTTTATATGAGGCAACTCTAAGTCCTTCTTCACTTTTATTCATAAATTAACAAATAAACAATGAGGTGTATTTAGAAAAGACAGCAAAACATTCATCTGGAAAAAATGTTAATTTTCCAACAATTCATAATTCTCATTATGATAGGTGTGTGTGTTCCTTCTAGGGAAAGGAAAATGGAAGGAATGTGGAAGCAAAGATTTGGGATTTTACACGTGGAGGTAAGGGATGACAGAAGAGCAAGGCAGGGAAGGATCAGATAAGGAATTTAGAACAGACACAACATGTCAGCCTGCCACTCCACCCACACCTATTTCCAGCAGTGAAGGCATGTTTAAGGAGAAAAAAAATCAAATCAGGGTTCAGGTGCAGAGCAATGCCATCCACTCTGATAGACAGGGAATTCCAGATCCAGGGACTGAATTCAGACCATCAATTTCCACAGCCATCAACAGACCTGACTTGCCCCCCACAAAGACTTTTAATTTCTAATCTCCCCTACTTGCAGTTTAAATAAATGCATTTTCTGTCACAGCCCTTTACTTTGGGCCATTAGCACATTCTAGGAGAAAAATCCAACAAATGTAAGATTCCTTTATCAAATTTTGGCCTACTTCCATAAAAGAACTGATGCTGTTGCTCTGCAAATCTTTTCTTGTCTACTTGTCTTGAAAGGCTTTAAACATGGCCAGGAAGTCCAGTTATGGAACTGGTCTTGGAAAAACATGAGGTTAATAATTTTTATTCATAAAAAAAGTAACACAAATAAATTATACTCATCTATTATACTTTGTACATAGATGATGAATATACATACATATATATATGTGTGTATATAAATGTATATATGTGTATATGTGTATATATAAATATTTATATATATTTATATAATGTGAGATATATATATATCTCACATTATATAAAAAAGAATCAATAGAATTTATAAAATTCTATTATATTCTAAACTATATAGATTATATTTATTTTTATAATTATATATTAATAATATTATTATTTATATACTATATAATATATAGTAATATATTAATGTACATTGATAATAATCAATATAATATAATTATTATAATTAATATGTTTATAATTTTATAATTAGATATTATATTCTAAACTACAAAATATAGAAATTATAAAATATAGAAATTATAAAATAAAATATTTGAGCCCAATTAAGTACTGTAATTCTGGACTGTGCAATTTCTATAGATACACATATACTACCTCATCTTGCTTTTCTCTCAAAACTAATTAAAATAGCCACTGTGTTAGAGTAGATTTCCTCTTCTTAAGATATTACACACTCCATTCTGGTTTATCTCAATGTTTCCAATTTCATTTACCTCTCTTCAGATCTCACAGTGCCAATAATTCACTTTATCATCTGGGGAATTTGAGTGGGATTAGTTGGATTCTTAGGACAAAAGTTTCCTTTTAGACCTTGGGCAGGCCATGGTACTCCTCCTATGAAATGCCTTTGCTTGCCACATGACAAAATATTCTGCAGTGAGATACTTTAACTTTGGAATATTCAGGTATTCTTGACTGATTTTTTTTTTAATGGTGGACTAACAAAAATTCTCCTTTTTTTGAATTAAATTAAGGTATTTTTGAATTAAAAACAACCCAAACCCCACAAACAAACAAACAAACAAAGCAAAGAAAGGTTTGATTTTTTTTTAAGATTAAAACAATCCCCAAACAAAACTAAATTTAAAAAAAATTGAAAAAAACAGGCATATCTGGAGAACAGGACCTTAGAACTGCTGAATACACATAAAAAGCAATGGACTTTGAAGAGTTTTGACACATCTGCAAATCAGTCTATTAAAAAAATAGAGAGTTGACACCAGAAAGTGCTTTTGAAGCATCTGGAAATGCCATAGCCATTAGCCATAGCCAAGACACTGAGAAGCTGTAGCTACAAGTGGCAATATCTACTGACAGAGAGAACCCTCGGGCCCATGAGCCTCTCATAAACTGAAAAATGGGAAATTCTTCCAGCTGGGTCAGGCAGCAGAACAGTGGAAGGATCATCTCTGATCAGAGTCATCAAAATAACATTTCTTGTTTCATGTCCAGCTCTACAAAGCTTTTAGATTTTGGTGGATTATCTGGAGCTGTTGCATGGGTTCCTTTCAAATGAAAAGGTCACAAATGGTTTGGATACCTGTGATCTTGTCCAAGCCCCCTTCATTAAACCATCTAATGAAGCAATGATTTCCTTTATCTTCTCTGTAAGAGGCTGCAGGAACTTGGCAACAGCTCCACCATCAGTGTGTTATCAATGTTATTCTCAATAAATTCAAAACATAGCACTGTACCCACTGCTGAGAAGAAATCCAGGAGAAAAGTGGAAAAAGCACATGGAGGGTTTGCTCCCAAAGTGAGAGATTTGTGATCATTACAGGAGATGCCCAAAAAACATAAACCTTTTCAATTATTTATTCTTTCTGCTCTGGTATCTCCACCTGTGGGTGGGTTGTTCACTGCCCACCCTGTTTGTGTGCTTGAACTGAGGGAGGACATGGAGCTCCAAAGCCCACAGTGGTCCCTAGGGAAGATCTGCCAGCTGGCAGAGGCTTCAGCAAGGCGGGGACCTGGGGCTAGGTGGAAAATCAAAGAGCTGTAACCATCTCACTGACATCCCCACGGTGCAAAGCAGACACAGCCAGGTCTTTGTGCACACCAGGGAGGTCAGGGTTTGTGTGGTTTTCTGGAAGATTCTGTCAATTGAACAAGGTATGAGGCATGCCAAAAGTGAAAATGGTACCGTGTTTGGGTGTTTGACTGAGATCTCTGAGATGGTTGGAAAAAATCTGCTTCTTTCTCAGCAGGTTGGTATGATTCAGAATGTGGTAGATTGAAGGATTTCTGGCCAGGCACCCATTACTGATTTACTTTGCCTGGAGACAGAAGGAAGTAGAGCTTCTGAAACCTCAGTTTATTGTATTCACAAAGAGCACAAGTGCTCAGCACATTAAAATTAACACAAATTTGTCTTGAACTAACAAGATGAGGATTTGAACTTGCCACAGCATCTTCTAAAACCAGCACATATAAAAGGCCTGAGAACTTGCAGAAGCTATGAAGAACCTTTCTCTGGGCACTCAGAGTGAAGACCAAGATAATGATTGTAAAATTCAGCCAGGGCAGGCTGAATGTTTTTTATTTATTTTTTAAATTTTATTTATTTTTTAAATTTAAGAGACAGAGATCAGCATTCACTGGATATGATAATTTGGGGAAGGACCAACTGCTACCATGCCACTGGATAACAGGGTGCTTCTTGTCAGATTTTCCAGTAAAATAACTCATTCTCATCTTCTCACCCATAAAATGATTTCATTCCTCTACCCCTTTCCCTCATCCTGGAGCTGTGGTGGGAGTGAGCAGTGGTGTGGTGGCCACTCTCTCCTCTTCCATCCCTGCACTGCTGCAGGGTGATCACAGATGCCAAACAGCACCATTGGTTACTCTGAATTTCAAAAGCAGCTCTTAAGTACAACCAGAAATTTTCAGGCAGAAAAATAGCTTGCATGTTAGGAAATCAAATTAATATTTAGATTATTTTCAGAACAGAAGAAAAAGACTAAAACATCTTTCCAAAAACTGCTGCCAATTGTAGTTCAAATGGACTGAGAACAGGTACATACATGAATAAGACCATACAAGCATTATAAAACTCCGCTGAGATTCTTATCAACATCAAAACATTATAATTTATAATTAAATTTAACATTGAAAACACCTTAATGACTAACACAAAGCATACTAAGAAGATTATGAGAATGACCACGTCATGGAAGGGTTAATGGCTCCAGTTGTGGTAGAAATTTAAATATCATGGGGAGGCACCTCCTGACCCAGCCATCACTGAGAATTATGCAGATTCAAATGGGAGCCACACAGGCTTTGATTTCCCCCAAGGATTGATGAACAAGTACAAAATAATAGAAAGTGACAGGAAGCAGATGACTGAGGTCTAATTTAATGTCATTCTAAAAGACAATATACCTTAAATTGGCCTTAGGAAAATTATGGGTTACAAACAAGAGAGGAGAAACATGCACTTTTTTCACTTTAGTTCACTAATTTAAAAAGTAATCCTTAGAAGAAATGAACAGTAAAACAATAGTCATTTGGCAATGCAGGGTTGCCCAACTTAAGTAGGAGTACTTTGTTTGCATAATTTACAATTTAACAGAAAAGACTGTAATCTTAAGAGGAAAACTCTATTAAACAAAATAATGAAATGATCTGAAGAATTTTATGCAAATATTAATTTGGGACTGCTATGAGGACAAAGAATTAATAATTCTTAAATAGCAAGATAAAATGCTGTGAGGATGTGCCTAGGAACAGTTTGTCATTTTAGTAAAGAATTAGCTACACTTATCTAGAAATACAACATCTATTCTGCAAAGGTTTTTCTAAGAAAAAAGCTGGAACATTTTGCTATTTTTAATTAGTAAGGTTCAGAAATGGCCCTGTACAATCCAAAACTAAGCATAACCAATACTTCAAATCTTCCAGATTTCAGAACAAACTGCATGATGTGAAAAATCCTTTCACACTGCAGAAATTATAAAAATCAGCAGCTAGATAATTTGAAATTGTCTATTTTGTACCACAGATATTTGAGACATTTGTATAGAAACAGCACCTCATACTTGTTTTTACTTCAGAAATGATATTTATCCTGCATCATTTTTTTTCAGTTCTTTAACATCAATGAGTAGAGATATTCCTAGTCAGGCCACTTGTTCAGGAATGGCCCTAAAGTCTCCACTGATATTGTCTCAGCTAGTATTTAAATATAGGAAATTACTTTTAAACTAAATTTTTATGGCATCCAATTAAAACCAAGAGATCTAGGGGGTCGGGAAGTCTCGCTGTGATATATTACAGCGTTGCCAGAAAATATACAAAATTTTTCTCTAAAAATGGGAGGTTTCTTAATTTTTAGTAGGGAGGGAACAGCTTTTTATGCACATCCAAATCTCCTCTCTCCCAGAGAAGCAGGACAGGCTCCCCATTCTGAAGGAAAAGGGGAAAAAGGAGAGTGCATTGCCCAAGTGCTCCATCTGCAACTCCATCCCATGGAGGAGCCGGAGGCACCGCAGCAGCGCTCACAGAACCGCCTCAGGAATCCACAGAGCAGCCAGATGCCAGCCCTGGAAAAACATGGGATGTTGAGAATAGCTGCATCCCGTGACTGGCATCCAGAGAGGGGCCACGAGGCTGGAGCGATGTTCAGGGATGAGCAGAAGGTTGATACGTGCGTCTATTTTTTATTATGTGCAGCGGGGATTTTCATTTAAGGGTAAATTAAATAGTGCTGATAAAAAAAAAAGTGTGGACCCCCAAGAGTTTTCTGGAAAAGAGAAATGCATAACTTTATCCAGGCAGAAAATACATGCTGTAAAATTAAAGTGTGTTACCTTCAGACCAAGTCAAATGCGCATTTGATTCATAAAATTGTATGTGAAAAGCAGCTTTTAAGAATAAATCTTAGAATAGTTTTCAGAGTAAGCACAGCAATAATATATCTCTTTAAGATCAATAGAAGTAATTCTTTCCTAAAAATCTATATTTTATATAGGCTGTGAACATGCTTTCCAAAAGTAAATTAGGCTGGAAACATCTTGATTTACACCTTTCCTTAAAAGCTGGCAAGTTTCCTACAAATGAAAACTTCCATCTTTTAGGAATAATGTAAATGCTATTGCCATTGGAAAACAGTCCCTTGATTGTTATATTTCCTGACACTAGGTTGTTTTCCTGCATGTAATGTCCATTGTTCAGTGACATTTGCAGTAATCTTCAAAACTAAATTTTTGTTTATGTGACATAAGAAAAAAATGTACCTTAATCTAAAGAAAACACAGAAGAAGAGGGGGAGGGAACATAAAACATGACATTAAATATAGAAATAAATGTTGGGCAAATGGTTTAGTAAATCTAAAAGAGTTAACACTTCAACATTCAGATTTTACAGACCTCCTTCACTGGATGTTTTCAGGGCCTCTAATTTGCAGCAAATTGTCCAAGCCCTTCCCCTGGCTGAAGTGGAGAGTGCAGTCCAGAAGAACCAACCTGCCCAAGGTGGGAACCAAGCAGCAGAAGGCTGATGGAGACCAGGATCACACAACAAAATTTCTCACACCAAAGTCAGCCAAGAAAAGGGAGTTGGAAACTTTTATTTTTAAGGGGCATCTTCCTAACCAGGGCATTGGGGCTGAGAATCTCCCTTACCTTTTGCACTGGAACATCATAGCTGGAATCAATAATCAATATTTTTAGTGTTAAATCAGTACCTTATGAAGAGGAAAAGCTGTTTATTTCTTCCATCTCCATACTAAAAAAGGAACAAAGACTGGGAGAGCAGAAATTTGTAAGTACCCCATGGAGAGAAAAGCACTTTGTGAAAAAAACTCTGCCCCCAATAAGCAGCTGCAAGAAATACTTTTCAATTTGGACTCTTCTGCTCAACGTGACTGTTTGCACACTTAAGTTCCTATCAGTTGGAATTTCAGCAAAAAAGAACACTGTCATTCACTTTAGGATAACTGGAGTACCCTGTTGTGCTATGATACATCCACATTTGTAAGTTAAATAGAATAAAATGTGCCACAAAGTAAAACAAAACCATTTCAAAACAGGAGAAGATATTTTTTGTAAGCAAATTCAGGAGAAAACATGTTTGGCAAAGGTAACAAGGAATCAAGAAATAAGGAATGAAGAACAATTAAGTAAAATTTTATGCTGAGCTTTTGAAGTACGTAGACATGAAAGCTTCATCATTTTATCAAACAGAATTTTCCAAGTATTTCCACACTTATTATTATGCTTATGGCATTTCATAAACATAACTTTACAGGTAATAGTTACTCTATTAAAAAATAGCTCATCCAGAGTTTCAAAGGAGAGTCTCACTGTCTTTAGTCTTCCAGAACTCATTCATTCAAAAAAATTCGTATCTCTACTATCTGCTCATATTTTAGCAGCTAAAATGGCCACTAAGACAATGAGAAAAGAGGTTTAAATTATTTTTGCTTTTAATTTTAACGATCCAAGGAATAGATAAAATTGTAGAAGATATTAATTGGAAAGATTTAGTAGTTATTGTAAGAACTACTGAAACCTTGTGTGACTAGAAAAAAAGTGGGCCTGATCTGTAAAAATCCCAGGGTGGATGATACCAATGGAAAAAAAAACGTAAAAAAATATCCCCTGATGTTTTAACAAGAATAAAACCCTGTATCACTCAGGTAGCAAAAACACTGGAAGATTATGCCTGGAATACAAGGATTGAAAGGAAGGAATTTGTTTAGAAAATACAGAATAAGTATAGTAAGGTAGCACTGTAAGCTAATGATGAAAAAAAGCATGGTATGACCTAGAGAGTAAAACACAAACAATATACAGAGGGCAGTAAAAAATTCTTCATTTTACATTTTGATAGTTTTTACAACAACAAATATTTTTAACCCATATTTTATTGGCAGAGAGGTCGTCATGTGAAAAGAAAATAGTGAATATAAATTCTGCTAAAAAAGGATTAAAATAATTATCCATGGAACTAGAAGGCACCCTGTCAAGCCATTAAATAACATGAAATAATGTGAACGTTTTCCTTATGTTCTAGCAAGGACAAAACCAGCTGCACTAAGGAATAATACTGTGGTTAAACAATGAAGAGCATCTCACACAAGAGATTTGGTTTAGTCTATGAATAAAGAAAAAGGCTGAAAAGATATAGGACTGCTCTTTAATAAAATATGGAGATGAGGTAAATAGTAAAGAGGATGCAGAGCTCTTTCAAGTAAATTCTATTTTAAAACGGAAGGAATTTATATTAAAATGGAAGGAATTTATATTAAAGAGACATGAAAAATTTTTAAATGAAATTTAGAAGAAAGCTTCTAATCATTAGAGCAGTGAAGTTCTCAGACAGCCTTATTGCAGCCAAACAGGGAGTAGAAATCCCAATTTTTTTTTTAGGTGGAATTTGATCTAGTAAGTGTAATTGTTGTATGAAATGGCTCCTGGTTTTTCTGCTTTTTTAAAGCTTTAATTCAATCTGGACTTTTAATAAGGGCCTCTGGCAGATAAGTACAATAGCTATCCCAGCTTTCATTTCCTTGCAGTTATTAGGAATACTTAAAGGCATTTGCTCAATTATTAAAAAATATTTTTATCAGTTAGCTTTAATCAACACTGATGACCTGTTTCCTTTTTTACAGACATTGGAACTGAATTTTCTGGACCTTGGGAGATAAGTGATTAACCACAAAGCACTCAACAGACCCTTGGTTGTCTACACAAAACATTTTCCAGAAAAGCCTGTGGTATTTTCAATCTTGGCAGGACAAAACCATGTTACTGCAGGCTTTAACATAGTTTTTTTGTGAATTGTCCAAATCCTTTAAGACTTTAGTGAGATAATTGTGTCTTGTCACAGAACCTGAAAAATCATTCCTTAGACCAAGTTTTGTGCCTTTTAAAGAGTTAATGGTTCTATCAGGTCAAGACTATTTTTCTTTCCGTGTGTTTCTGAGGAATGGGTGCAGCAGCTCTTGAAATCTTTCTCTTTTCTAACTGGGGAACTCTTTTTCCTTCTTCATGTACCATTTCTGCCTTCTACATTTTTAAAGGTGTCAAGATCAGCGGTGATCACGCTCTGCAGGTAAGTTTAATGCAAAAACATGCAGCTACATCCATTTTAGGACCCAGATGCCCTCATTAAACTGTTGTTCCCAGCCCAATCTGGGAAGCAGAACATTTTACATGGTTTTTATTTCACTCAGCACATCCACATCATTTCTTCCAGAACATCTGTATTCTGGGTTGAGAGAACCCTGGTAACTGAAAAAATTCCTCTTTCCTTCTGGCAGGCACCACCAAAGTGATCCTGGGGAGGAGTCCCCTTGTCATAAGAGAGAAAAGGAGCACACTCAGCCATTCTGCTCTAGGAGGAGGTGAACATTTGGGTCTCAAATGGGCAGAGCAATCTGAAATTCAGTCCTTCTTCTGAAGGTGACCACATCAGGCTGTGCCAACAGCAGTTTGTTTCTGCACCACTGGATAGTTCTGCTGCAAAGTTTGCAGCTTTGACCTAGAGGCCGACTCAGGGCTTGCAGTTAATTATTATAAAGTTATGGATGTATATTGCCCATATATTCTGCTGGTTAGCCCAAAGGAATTTTACTTCTATTTTGAACAACTGCTGTCTTTTAAGACCACAGAATATAAACTGGGAAAGCATTCCACTTACCTGTAAATTATGAGAAATAGTTTTTTGCATGGAAGATGCTGGAAAGTGATGACTTGATAGGCAGGGTGGAACTCAGCTGGATGAAGCAGCTGAGGTGGCTCAGGGAAAAAAAAAAAATCACAGTGACTAAGATTGACAACTGGTTTCTTTGCTAATGGTAGAAAAAAAATAATTAAGTCAGCGTGTGTGTGTCTGTAAAGATGAAAATCTGCAGGGAAAATTAAGCTAAAAAAGAAATACAGGTTGGTGACAGGATACAGATGTCCAGATGTAGCTCTGGACAAAAGACTGCAGCTCATGAATCAGATTTGATCTCATTTGGGATGGGGCAAGAGAAATCTCTCATGCTCTGGATGCTCTTAGGGCTTGTTTCAGCCAGCATTTATCTATTTGCAGTTGTACTAAATAAGGTGGTTGCTCTATTCCTTAGCATAAGGGTTGTGAAAAAAAAAAAATCAGCAAGAAAAAGAGAAAGATGGATTTAGTGATGTTTGCCAGAGAACAAAGTTTGGAAATAATTTATTTTAATATCCTTGAAAGCAAGACACCATAAATTGAGAAGACAGCTTTAATCTACATCCCTAATATATTGAAAATAAAACTGAATTAGTTTAATTTTTAAATGGCAATATTTATGTTGTTAATATTAAGTGATTAATCAAGGAAAATAATAAAGACAGCAGACTGTTAAAAAAAGAAGAAGAGTACAAACAAGTTTAAAGGCTTTGGAAAAATGGTGAAATTTTAAAGTACCTAATAGTAGGCTTTTAAATTTCAATAAAATTACAGTGTAAGGTACAGGATACTACATTTGTGTGACATAATAAATCCAGTGCATGCACAGTAAACAGGCCTGGTCTTTTTAGATATTTTAGTGAATACTGGAATAAATATTTTTAAAATTATATGGGAATAAAACCATAGCATGAAAAATGCATCTTTGAGAAATGCTCAACATCAAAATGTTTCATTTTTACAGACTTAAGGTCCTCCTGTTAAACCCACTTAGGTAAAGTTCATGCAATTTGAAGGACCCATGCTGTGTATTTCAGGACTTGGTTATTTAAAGTAAGACAAACCAATCTTTTCAAGTCTGAAACAAGCTAAAAGAGGAAAATAAAGCAAATAAAACTTTCATTTTCATCTTTTGGGGTATTTTTTCCTTACGTTCAGCTTTTAAGGCAGTAAATAATTACCTTTGAGAGGGTCTAACAATTAAAGAATAACATTGATTAATTAGGAAAGAATGTGAGCAATACTAATCAATCCTAAAGACAGTTTTTCTTCTCCCACCTCAATCCTTTTCGTCCCCCACACACAATGAGTTTTCTATACCGTTGGGATTCCTTTAAAAAACATTCATATTCTTGTCCATTCACACAAAACTCTCTTGGTGAGCTTTGTTTTGGGAGGAGTGGGTGGTGGGCTGGGGGCATGGGATGGTGAGAGAACAGATAGGATGTCAGGTGAAGATGGAATGCTGTGCCCTCTCTAACCAGCTGAAGGCTCTGCGTGATTGTTTCCTTACAAATAATACCTGTGGGTGTTGAAACAGTTCAGGGAATCTATCAAACACACCCTTTCACTCTGCTCTTGTAACTCCATAAAATTTATTCTCATTTCTAAAGAATCTTGGCAATAATACCTGTAGGTGGTTGAGTAATTTAGAGGAAATCTGTCAAATCTACTTCCACCGACTTTAGAATTCCATAATTACTTTCAAAGTGGCTAAATGCAACAATTTTTATTTTTTTTTTTTCAGAATAGTCACAAAGTTCTATACCGAGCTTCTATTTTTTATTTTAACAACTTTTAAATAGACTTAGTGGAAGAACTAACTCAAAGAGTAGATCTAATAATTGTGCAGCATTTTATTTAACTCTCCAAAGGGAAAAAAAAAGGGAGTGCTGCATGAGTGTAATTCCATCTTCACATGGGTGGACATTTAGCTGTTTTATTACATAACTTGAAGAGAAGACATCTGAAGCTAATCTTGATTCAATGCTGTGTTGTACTGTGTGGATTATTTGCAGATTATTTATGAATTATTTATTTTTTTATGATTATATTATTTATTAATAATAATATATTATTTATAACTGAAGACCCCTATCCCCTGCTTAACAGATATACTATGTATTTCTTTGCTGAGAATAACAGAAATTTATCATAAACCTACTGATACCAGCAGAATCTCTCAGTGCCCCCAGACACAGGCACACACTCAATTTACTCTGTTTAACAACTTTGTCAAGTGAAGTGATTAAGGGTACATTTATTCACTCTCAGTCCATGGCAAATGTGATGTAATTTGACTTTGCACAATCCTCAGAGAAGGATAGGTAGCCTGGGATTAATTGAAATAATCTCAGTGTGCCAGTATCTATCTCAGGCAGATCGAATACAGGAATATAATCCTCTGTCAAACAGCTGATCAGAATTATTTTTTATGCCATCAAAGACAGCTAGTCTGAACTAAGTGTTAAAACTTCCCAGTGTGTGAATTCTAAATGCTAAAAAATGGTGAAATTCATACTTCAGTGCAGTGACACATTACTTGCACAGGCGTTTTGTGGCAATCCAGTGATCAAACTGATAAAAAAATGGAAAATAACAAATCCCTTTTCCTTTTCCCTCCCTGTCATCACAAAGAATCCATGTCCTATTTGGATTCACCTGATTATGCAGAAGGCACCTCAGCACATAACATATTCAAAGGTGAACAGGTTTGTGGCCAGTGAAGTTTAATCAAATATGAGTGGTAAATACAGTGGACAAAAACGTTGGACCCTGCTATATTTAAAACTTCATTAGTCCCAAATGGTTGCTTAATTTCTAATTAGAAAGAATATCATCCCCCATCTGTGGTCTTTTGACTAATATGTAATTTTTTTAGCATGAACCATATGTCTCCAGAAAACATTCACATTCAAACAGAGAGAAAGAAAAAACGATGCAAGTTCGTGGTGAAAAACAATCCAGAAATTACATTCTTAGAGTGCTGATTTAACTCCTCAGCACAATTTCAGACAGATTTCTGTCCTATCTGAGCAGAAGAAATTAACAATTAAATGCTGATGATAAAGCACAGGACAGTGTTAGCACTCTACAACAGGAAATGACACACAAGTAGCCACTGGAGTTTCAATAAGGCTCTGATACTCAGAAGACAAATTGTTTATAAATTACACACCAAATAGAAGGAAAACCAGAGGCACTATCAGTCTTGCTGCTTAGAAAAAGGAAAAGATTGATTTAGTCACTCTCTTAACAAGCATGCTGTATCTGTGCAGCTAATCACATTAGAATTTTCTATACAAAGATGTTTTTAATTGCCCAGTCTTCGATAATCGTGGCCACTTCTTTTTCTTATTGAAATAAAACACTTAGATTGCTGAACTAGATAACCACATATTTCATGCTTTTAGACAGAATTCTTGGTTCTACATCTTTTAAAAATAATTTTCAGAAGAATTCAGGATTTCCAATCATTTCCTTGAGAAGCAAAAGCCTTTCTAGATCTAAATTTTGTTCAATCGAAATGCAATATGGCTCTTTATAGGTTCTATC